GGACCACAAAGAAGACACAGTGCTTCTCTGCTTTCATCCATGCGAAAAGCAGCATGGAAATAAATTGCTGTCTAAGACTGAGTGCCAACAATCAGCAAGGCAGCTGCAGACAAAACCAGGGACTGAGTTCACAAAGGATTCCACATCAGGCTGATAGGAAGGAGCTCAGCCAGGTGGCAGTGGGAAATGCTCCTACCACTCACACACACTGGCAAGAGAAGCAGTGAAGCAAGATACCAGAGAAACAATCAATCCATGCTTAACCAAAGAAGACACTAACCATCAAAGACTACGACAGGCACATTAAAAACATTTTCCAGGTGCAGAGAGAAGCAGCCTGAACTCCCAAGACATATATACTTACCTTCGATTGTGCTACCTTCCTTGGAATTTGCAGCATGCCAGGAGGGAATCTTCTTGCAGCTTCTGTAATAAAAAATCCGAGTTATTCTCCTGTGCTTTGTAGCAGTGTTTAGATGCTACACAAGCCAAAGAATTGTTTTCCTTAAGTGAGTTTGTACAGTGCACACACACACAGAGGACAGCTCGCACTGACGTGCCTTGGAACACACGGGCTTTCCCCGGGCCGCCCCCCTATGCCGGGCTCTTCGCTCACCGCTGTCCCGCTACCCTCGGAGCCACGGCGAGTCGGGCAGAGCACAACCGGCCCAGCCCCGGTACGCGGGGAGCCGACTCACCCCCGAGGAGGGAAGAGGAAGCAGCCCTTGAGGCGCCGCTCCGACCCTGCCCGCGGCCCCGGAGCGGCCCCGGCCCCGGCGCCACCGGGAGGTGCCGGAAACAGCGCGCAGCTTCCTACGGGAGGCAGCGAGGGACACGGGAGTTTCGGGAGCTGCGCGTTCCGCGCCCGCCCGCCGCAGTGTCCCTGCCGTGTCCCCGCCGTCCCTCAGAATCCCAGGATGGGGCAGGTCGGAAGAGACCACCGTGGGTCACCTGCTCCAAGCTCCCTGCTCAAGCAGGGCCATCGCAGAGCACATGGCACAGGATGGTGTCCAGATGGTGCTTGACTATTCCCAGTGAGGGACACTCCACAGCCTCTCTGGGCAATCTGTCCCGGTGCTCGGGCACTGCACAGGGAAGTTCTTCCTCATGTTCAGGTGGAACTTCCTGAGCCTCAGCTCCTGCCCCGTTGTCCCATTGCCCGGCGCCCCGAGCAGAGCCTGCTCCATGCTCTGGGCCCTCCCTGCAGGCACTGACAGACATGGATGAGGTTCCTCTCAGTGTCTCTGAGCAGGCCCAGCTCCCCCAGCCTCTCCTCAGATCTGAGGTGCTCCAGTCCCTTCACCATCTTTGTCACCCTCTGCGGGACCCACTCCAGGAGCTCCGTGTCTCTCTTGTCCTGAGGATCCCAGAACTGGGCACAGCACACCAGACTGGCCTCACCAGTGCAGAGCAGAGGGGCAGGATCCCCTCCCTGACCTGCTGGCACTGCAGTTCCTAATGCAGCCCAGGATTCCATTGGGAATGTGCCACGAGAGTGCTGCTGGCTGCCCCACAGCATCGCTCAGGTCTAGGCCTGAGCTGGCACCTGAGCCTGTCTGTGGCCGTGGGTCACAAAGCTGCTGTTCCCCCACACCGGGAACGGTGGTGAGCTGTGGAAAAAGATGAAAGATTGGAATATCTCCTGATTCCCCTGGCTAATCTTAGAAACGAGAACAAATGGAAGTTGCAAGCTGAAGAAGGGATCTGCTAGAGCGAGCTGCTTTTTGGTAAGCTGGTAATGCTCTGCTGGTGTTGGTACCATTTCTCTGGTTATTAATTGTCTTAATTGAGGGCTGTAGCAGGATGGGTGGCAGGAAGGCTAAAACCATGTCATATCAGCACTAATATTATTACTGCAAATGCACCATTAATCAAGAAATACAGTGCAGCAATGTCAGGCCTCTGGCCCTGGGGTAGTTCCAGCCCTGCACCCACCCTCCATCCACCCTGCTGGCTTCAGTGGCAGCTGTGCTGGCTCCCAGCAGGTTTGGGGCTCTGAGACACTGCCCTGTTCTCAGTGCTGCTGCAGAGCCAGCCGAAGCCAGCTGCACACAAGTTTGGCCTGTTTCCAGCTCCTTTCCAGCTCTGGTGTCACACTGATCTGAAATGGCCATACCATAAAATCTAAATTCTTATCCTGTGCCCATACTGCCCTTCCTTGGGGTGCAAGTTTCTATCAGTCTGATAAGATTTGTTTTAAATTATAAACAATCATTAAAATCATCAGCTAACTAGACAACACTTTGCTTTCTTATTTGATCTTGGAGCAACTTGTATGTGCCCAACCTAATTTCTACCCTCACTACTAATGAAATGGATTAGACAATTTCCATGTTTTACAATAGCAATCAGCAATTAATCCAAACAATATAATTGCAATTAATTATAGGCTGGATAAAACAGTGCAGTGCTGCATCAGTTTGTGGAGACCATCCTCTAAACCTATGGGCACCAGTGGTGGATTGTAAAGGTTTGTGTTTCCAAGCCACATTCTTGATTTCTCCATTAGCACATGTGATCTCTGTTGGTGCTATTGATGCTTTCTTTCCAGAATCCCATGGATGCTCTTGAAATCTCTGTTTTCAATTAATGTCATTTTCCTTCCCTGCTCACTACCAAGACATCTTGTTTGTGACAAGGAGAGGTTTTCTGTGGTATTCACATGGCCTGCTTATGTCTTTGCTCTGATGGTCTCCACACCATGCTTAGTAAGTGTTTTATCCTAAAAGTAAAGATCTGTATCTGTGGTATCTTGCTCCATGGTGTGCAAGTGACACACAGGCCCCTGTGCCCAGGTGATGTGGGATTGCTTGTGCTGAGAGGGCATTTATAGTGTTGAACCATGAGCCACACCTGTGTAGGCACAGGGCTAAAAGTGAGGTTGTGCTGTAAAAGGGAGGCACCTCACCTCCTCATGGGGAAAGAGTAATTTCAGCTGTCTTTTGCTCCTAAGCACTTTCTGTACAATCCTCTTTCCCCCTGAGGTATTTTCTCCAAACTGCACTTTTATCAGTGCTCAGCTTTCCTCACACTATACTGGCTCCAGGAGCTGATGCCATGGAGTGGCCAGCAGCTGCATTTTTAGCTGGCATACTCTGGCCCCACAGCCCTGATGATTGCAATAATCCCCTCTCCCTTTGGGTTTATTCACACCTTTGGACACTTTTCTGAGCCTCCGTGTGTCCTTAATCTGGCTTCTAAGCCCCTGCCTGACTTTAAGTTATGTCTCTCCAGACTGATTTTGAATATTGCCATATCTTCTCATAGCAGTTTTCTGCAGGGAATTTAAGTTTCCCTGTTCCTCCCTATTAGCACCCATGAATTAGAAAAATTCTTTACCAAAATTCCCTGTTGCTCCTCATTGCTGTTTTTTATTTCTCTCGACTGACACAATGCCCTGCTCACCAGGGACACTGTTCCAGAGCTTTCAGGAAAGAGTCCTCACAGCACTTCTGTCAGACTCTGGCCCACACATTAGGCTGAGACTCCAGAGGATAAGTCCAGGTGGTCAGGAATAACCTGTGCAGGAGGCAGTAGGGATAGAAACTTTTGTGAGGAGCCCCTCTTTCCCCTGATCCCCATCTGCTGGCCCTCAGGTGTGCGTCACCCCCTCCCACAAAGCACGGTCAAGATCCCAAATCTGTGCACAAAATGATAACATTTATTGAAAGAGTAAATTTTTTTTTAATACAAAAGAAAGCTCTGTACATAGTACTGTGATTACTTCCACATCCTTCCAGAAACACAACCCTGGAAACTGGAGGGGAAAAAAAAAATAATCCCACACACACTTATGCGTACACACACACACACACGCGCGCGCACACACACCCCTCAAACCAGTAAAATGAACTAAAAATGTCACCACACAATAAATGCCATTTCATCCCTGATACACAAGTGTTCTTACAAGTCTGCACTTAAATAAAATACACCATTAGCGTTTAACCAGCAGTTGCCTTTGGGGAGCCAGGGAGGGGATGCAGTCATACACCCTGTAGCAGCAGGGGCTCTCCTGCCCTTCTGGCCCAACAGCTCTGCTCCATAGTGCCAGCAGAAGCAAAGCAGAGCAAAGCCAGGCCACAGTGATGTGCTGGGGCAAAGGACAATGCAAACTCTGATCCCACACTTCTCCCTGGATGAACTCCTAGGTATCTATGTGGTTTTGGAAGCATCACGGAGCAGTTTTCCTACACTGAGCCATGGGATACGGCTCAGCACTCCCACATGCTCTGAGCTGCAGGGTTTGCATCACTCTTAGAGCAAGAATTTTAAGGGGAGGCAGCATGCAACATCACCCTCACCAGATAGGCCACTTCACTCCCCACGAGCCCTTCCCAGGCTGCTAACAGATCAAGGGCTGAAAGGCTCTTCTGTGAATTCTTTGCACAGGGAGCTTGGAGGAGACCTGTCCCCATCTGTGCGCTGCAGAATGGCTGCAGAGGGGGAAGTACAGCCCAGATTGTCACCCATGAGTTCAGGAGATGCTGCCTGCACAGCAAGCAGGGAGAACAGGGATTAGCCACTGCTGGTCACTCACCACAGGGAGGAGTGGGGACACCCATATCCCTTAGGCAGTCACAGGCACCACTGCTCCGTGCCAAGAGCAGTGACAGTGACAGAACAGCTGCAGGTCCCTGGACCAGGAGTGAACAGGGTGGTCATCAGAAAACCCAGCCCCCCTCTGGCTCCTGGGCACACTGCAAACTGGCTGCTTCTGAGGAATGGGCTTACCACTTCCAGAGACCAGCCACTGCTGGTCTTCACTTGACTTCTGCCCATTAAGCCCAAAAGTATGGGTATGAAGTCCTTGTTACAGTTAAGTAGGAAACAAGCATCCCACTCGGTTCAGCTTGATCCCTGGCACATGCTGGTGGATGGAGAGTGCAGCTTAAACGCTAATGCTGAGGGAACATGTCCAAGGTTACAATACAAACTCAAAAGCAAGGCCCCTTTCCTGCCTCCATGCCCGCCCACCCACCCCTCTCCCATCCCCCTGGTACAAACCCCATTAAAACTGTACAGGAGCCAAACTTTTATTCCTTAAAGAATTACATAAATACTGAGTTTAACACTTAGAAAAATAAAGTAATTTTCTTTTTTTTCTTTTTTTTTTTTTTTTTCTCTCCAAGGCTTCTTTTGTCTTTTAACTTAAAAAAAAAAAAAAAGTTACAGTAGCTGCTTCTTCCCCTAAGGACTCAGCAGCTTCTCTCACTTGCTCACTCTCCCTCCAGGGACAGGGCTAGGTAGCAGAGCCATTCACAGCAATTCCCATGCAGGACCAAGCATGCCCCAGCCCTTCTCCCCCAGCCTTGCTGAGCTTGTACAGGCATCACAGCTGCTCCCCCGCAGCCCAGGATGGCCTGCAGGTCACCCTGGTGCTCAGAGGAAGAGCCTGCCACCTGCCCAGCAGCTCAGTGCCCCACGGGCTCTTCCCTTTGACATTTGAGTTGTTTCTCCACCTTGCATCAGATACAGAAATTTAGAAAGCGCTGGCTGGAGCTGCAGGGGGATGTAGGACAGACCCAGCCACGTTCCCCTGGGTGTATGGAGTCCAGAAGCAGGGTGAGGGCTGAGAGTGCGGGGCTGAGCAGAGCACAGGGCCCCTGAGGAGCTCGCCAGGGCATCTTTGTGTTCCTGGGCATCTATCTCACCACCTCACCTGTGCAAGGGCAGCCGCCGGGGCAGGGCCAGTCAGGCTGTAAATCTGCCAGGCAGCCCAGCGAGGAGGCACTGAGGGCAGAGGGCTCACTGTAGTGCATACGAGGAGGACAGGGCCACGTGCCACCAGCTGTGTCCTGCCCTCCGGGGAGAGGGCATGCAGGCCCAGAGATGCACATGCAAGCTGGCCCTTCTCTCCTGTCCGGAGCCCAGGGTGAGTTGCTGCGGCCAGGACCTGTCACCCCCACAAAGGCACATTGCTGAGGCCAGCAGCACAGCCACAACCCACTCTGCTCCAAGCTGCACCTGCACGACAGCTCCGGGTCTAAGCTGAGCCCCACGCAGAGTAAATACTCATGGGCAAGGTGACTCAGAGCACCCAGAAGGAGCCAGAGCCTCCAGCTGGGAATGGCCTGCAGTATTTATTTACAGTGCAGAGCAATCCTCCCCTCAAAAGACAAATTTCTTTGGCTGGCGTGAGACAAGCACAGCTATTGCAGCATCCAAATGCCCCAAGCCCTGCACGGCCCCAGCACGGCTCCACCCGGGGTGGGTCCTGCAGCCCCACGCGCATGCCTGTGTGTGTGGGGGTGGGTGAGTGCGTGTGTGTGTGTGCATGTGTGGATGAAGGAAACGTGAAAAGGCAACAATAAATAACTGGTGCAGTCTGTACGAGAAGGAGTCGCTGCCAGCCCCAACACTGGCATGACAAGCCAGAAAACAGAAGGCCGGCAGCAGAGGCCTCTCAGTCACTCTTGACGCTGTGTGAGGTGTCCAAGTTGACCACCTGCAGCTCCGTCAGGCTGCTGCCACTGCTGCTCTGCTGCCCGATGACAGCCATCTAGAGAGAGAAGGGAGGAGGAACCACTGGGGGACAGCATGCCCTGAGACCGTGTGTGCCAGCAGCCAGGGGGCACTGTCCTTCCCGGGCACCCATCCGAGGAGGATGAGACTCCCTCACCCAAGGGTGGGTAGCACAGAGCGCATTCCCAGACCTGAGGACTGATCCTACCCAGCCAGGTCTGCCCAGACACACAAAGGATGTGCAGGCAGAAGAGCAAGAATAAGCCCTGCACACACCTTCAAGACCTACTCTGTGCCTACCTGGTGAAGCTGGACAGCTGAGACTGGGATCTGAACCGTGCCTGATGGGGCTGTCAGGAACACTTGGGGGACGCCACCTGCCACAGAGAGAAGCACAAATGACACTGTCCCTTAAAAAGGGTTCCCCCATGGATCCTTTATCTGAGCTCCATGGAGCTACTCAATGACAAAGCTGCCTATCTGCACACATGGAGACATTCCAGAAGAAAGCCACGTTCACCAGTTTTCCAAATGCTGGGAAAAGCAGGCACAAGGCCTCAATCCAAGTCTTGCCTGTGTGGCTTCATGCTACTTTTCCCCCCTCTCCAGAGCTTCCTGGCTCCCTGTGCTGCCAGCCCATCCCAGAAACCTCACCCTCCTTTTTACCCATCAACAGCTCGTGCAATCCTTTGCACAAGAGAACGGCAAAACCTAAAAACACACATCGAGCATCACCCTTGCCAGGCCTTTGTGCAGCCACCAGGACTGCTGGGAAGAAAACCCTTTGTGATACAGCATAAATACGCGTGGGAGGAGAAAAACCAGGGTGTCAGTGCACTCTCAGGGAGCACTGCCCTGGCCAGCTGCCTTACCCTGATCCTGGACCTGGCCATGGGACACCTGCATGGCTGAGGGCGCCTGCGGGAAAGCGTTGAGCACGGCGAGCCCGCCGTCGGCCAGGCCGGAGGTGGGCGCGTACATCACCGCGTGCGGGCTGGGGTACATCATGTGGCCGCCCACGGTGGTTGGCACAGACGACGTCATGATGGTCGCTGGGAGGGTCACTGCCAGCGGGACAGAGCACATGTGAGCACAGAAAGGAACCTGCCGCGCTCATAGGCCTGCTCAGCACCCCCGTCCCAGCCACCCCGGGCGTGCTGTGCTGAGGCACAGCTCATGGAGATACCTATCTCTGTCTTCCACCCCAGAGAACAAGCAGGAGAGCTCAAACCTCTCCTTTCATGAGTATGAAGGGGCAGGAAAACACAGTAGCCAGACATCCCAGGACTGAATTCAACTTGTATCTCAATTCCCCGATGAAACTTCAATAGAGCTGTTGAACTAGATTCAGCCTGCATCCAGGCACCTGAACTCAGATTCTGCTGACAAAGAGATGCCTTCTGCATAGACAGTAAAAATCTCAAGCAGATGTGAGCCGATGCCTTGTGCTAGAGGCAATGCTGGCTCACTAAGAAACCCCCTGAGAACTCAGCAACCTGTTCCCAGCTCCATGCTGCAAGTGAGAGCAGATGATGTATGTGGAGAGGCTCTGAAATCCCCTGTAAGGTACCCTACGCCTACATAGGATACAGTGTAGCACAGGACCTGGCCACAGGGAGCAATACACCTGGGAAACTGTCAGCCTTGGATAGAGCTGGCCTGAAGAAGGAAACTGGCCAGGGTGCTGGTGTGAGGCTTGTTGGTGTGAGGTGTGTGAGGTGGTGAGTGGTTAGGAAGGCAGACAGAAGGTGGGTACCGGTACCTGTTCCGCTGGAAGAGGTCTGGGTAAGGTCAGTGCTGCTGTCACTAGAGGGAGACGTTTGCTGCGGTGCCTGGTGCACCTGGATTGCCTGGACTGGAACCTGCTGAGCCATGGTACCACCTGGGGAGAGAGAGGAGCCTGTCAAGCCCATGGCTCCACAGGGATACAGGCACTCTGGGCCATGTGAAAGCCCCAGTCCTTCTCTGGCTGCACACAGCTGCACAGCACTGCTCTGTGCTGCACCGAGGGAGGCCACACAGAAGCAGTGTGTGGCAGAAACCAGAGACCAAAACCTGCTCTTTCCTGGCACATGGGCCAGGAAGGGGTTAACTGGCCTATGAAGCTCCAAGACTGAAGAAAAGGCCACAACAACTTTTGCCCAACTCCTAGCCGTGGTTCAAGAACATCTGGGATCCTCCTTGCCATTCCTGGTTCCACCAAGACACAGAACAGATGTTGGGAGGGAGGGCCCAGCCTTTCCTTCCCAGAGAGGAGCCAGTTCTGCAAGGATCACCCTGCTGCAGTAAGTGGAACCACAAGAGCCCAAATGCCCACACCAGCTGGGCTCTGCTGCCTTCACACTCTGGAGCCCAGCTCCATCCTCCACAGGGCACTCAGGGTGCAGCTCTCACCCCTCTGGTGACATTACAGTGCCCTACAGAGGGATTAGAGAATAGCTGGTCTCATGGTGTGCATCCCAGAGCTGCAGGCCACACAGCCTCTGCCCCAGACCACTCCCTGCAAAGCACTTCAGATCCAGAAACACAGCTTGGCACAGCAAGGTCTCCTAAGGCTGAGGTCCTGCCTCCAGAGGGAAGAGCAAGGGATGCCAGAGAGCAAGAATCACTGGCCAGCTTGCTCAGACTGGGCATTTCCCCACACATCACACCCCAGAGACACACATCAGTTAATTCTCCTCCTCCAGATCACAAGGGAAATCCAGTTCCCTTGAATGGGAGCCTGCTGTCTGCCCAGGCCCCCAGGAGCTTTAAGCATTCCAAGAAAGCACAGGAGTTACCAGAGTCATGGACTCAGGCACAAACAGGCAGGACACGAGAAACACTGTGTCACTCAGCACTGGTCCCCAGATGATGGATGCCACCACAAAGGAGAGCTCAGCCCTACTCTGAAACTCCATCCAGGAACAAGCCCAGCCCAAGAACAAACACCTGGACAGCCTTAACTCAGAAGAAGAAATTCCTACAAAGGACAGTGCACACAAGATAGCAGAGCAGCACCATTACTCTGCTCTGGGTCTCCCCTAACCTCTGCACTGTGGTTCAGTGGCTGACTGCAGATACAAACACAGAAGCAAGGGCAGCTGCTCAGAGCCAAATGCCAGCACTCAATAAACAACCACTGGGCACCTCAGCCCCTGTACTACCCCTCCATCAGTTCTAGCAGCACAGCTCATCCTCAGCACAGCTGCACTAGGGACCTGCCTCTTCTGCCTTTGTTAGCCACAGGCCAAGCCCTGGGGCATGAGACTGAAAATCTGCTGCTTGCCTTGGTCTGCATCCCCCAGGATGCTGCTCCAGCTTATGTCAAGTATTTTCTGCCCTGTCTTCCCATCTCTCCCCAGCAGCCACAGCCAGGGCTCCCTGTGCTCTGCTCCTCTGTGCTCCCACGGTCAGCTCTGTGGCCAGGCCCAGGCCCCCAGAGACACCTCCATCCCCCATCTCTAGCAAGAGGAGGAGGAGAAGTGAGTGCTGACCTGTCAGCAACACAATATGCCCTCCAGCTCTGGCAGGGATGTGGAAGACTGTCTGCTGTGCCTGCTGCAGCTGTCCAGCTGTACCCATGACCAGCTGGCCCTGCTGGCTGGAAAGAGCCAGGGAGTGTGGCTGTAAGTGAGTGAGAGGAATGGCAGGGGTCCCTGGAGAAAGGGAAGCAGCTGCTGAAAGGAGGGAGAAAGAAAGGCTTCATCATCACCAGCTCTTTTCACTCCCTCCAGGCTTCTGGGGTCCCAGCTCAGCTCCCTGCCACCTCCCAGCAGCAAGGCCAGCTGGTAGCTCTCTAAAGAAACACTCTCTACATGACCCTTCTCCAGCCACTGGGTTTGAGCGTGGAATCACAGCCAGGCTCACCTTACAGCAGCAACCACTCTGCTTCCCTTCTTCCCCTGGAGAGAACAGCAGCACACTCCAGGTGCAGACATGGACAAACACAGTCCCTAAAGGCACTGACCTGACATGAGGGTGAAGCCAGTGGGTATCGGCATGAGGCCCCCAGACGTCACTGCACTGGCTCCAGTAGTCTTCAGCACTGTCCCGTTGGCACTGGTGACGGCATTGGGGCTGATGCTGGCAGACACTGGCGCCAGGTAATTGGTGATGGGGAATGACGGGCCACTGCTGACCTGCATGGAGGTCGAGGTGGTCGGGGCTGTCTGGATGGACGTTGTTCCCGGCAGGTTGGTGACAGTGAACGCGGGTTTCAGGGCGTCCTACAAAAGGAGACATTGTGACAGCTCGCACCAGCCCATGAGGCATCTGCCCGTGAGACCAAACCAGGCTCTCTGTAGGTTGCATCATCCCCTTTCCAAACCATACCCCCCACAGCCTGCTGCCAGCACATGGAGCAGAGCCAGGGGAGCAGAGAAGAGCTGCTTGCACAAGCATGAGGAGAGCTGGAGAGAGCTCCACATAAACTTTAGATGCTGGCCCAGGGCCACAGAGGTCCCCTGAGAACCCTCCCTACAACACACCAGGGGACAAAGCAACCGTTCCAGTCCCCAGGAGTGCCCAAAATGTCTAAGAAGAGAATAGCCTCTTTTTGGCACACACCAGGCAAAAGCAGCCCTTGCAGGGACAAATATAAAGGCATAGAGTCTCCTGTCAGGAACACACACCACTTCCCTTAACGCAGGAAACATAAGACCAAGAACAAGCGGAGAACTGGCTCTTAAAAGCAGCTGTACACTGGAAGTGATGGGGGAAGAGGTGACTAAAGGCAAACCTGGACACGAGGGAGGTCCAAACCCAGCCCTGACAGCAGCTTTGGCAGGCCCTGGGGAATGCCTCCACACATCTCCTGAAGCAGAGGCCAGGAGAACCTGACCACAGGAAGCACCTGTGTGCCAATCCACTGGCAGGAGACGGGCGTGAGGCAAACGCTTCCAAAGGACCCCCCACATGTTCACTGCAGCCAGCATGGTCCTGCAAGGAGTGTCAGAGGACAGCACTGCCAGGGGAGCTGAGCACCAGGAAAGGGCTCTGTGCTGGGCCAGCACTGGCCTGAGAGACTGGCATCCCAGGTGTGGGAACGAAGGCGGAATGTGCGTGCCAAGCTGCAGCAACACTTTCATTTCCACAGCCACAAAGCATGTGGCTGGATGTGCCTTGCATCTGCAGGAACCAACCAAGCCCAGCATGACTCCTGCTGCCTCTGGCAGTCACACCTCACCTAACTTCCCTCCATCCCCCAAATCCCCTTTGGAATACCCAGGGTGCCCGTGACTCCTCTCCTGCCCCGCTCATCTGGCCAAGAGCACGCTGAGAATGCAGTGCTTCACAGGAGCCCGTGTCACAGAGCACAGGCAACCTGCTGTGCCCGTGCCCTGACACAGCTGCCAGCACGCCTGGCAAGAGTTAAGGCTGCCACACTCCCACCCCTCCCACTGCAGCTGGTGGGCCCAGCTCTCCCACGTGCTAAGCCTTGTTCCCAGCTTGTCAAGCTGCCAGGAGCAAGGAATTCACAGCTCAACGAACAGCTAAAAAAGGGAAGGCAGCCCATTTTGGACAGGGGGATCCAATCCCAGGCACTCAGTCAGGCTCCAGGGCCCAGGGAGGGAGGAGAGCAACACCCCTCTGCCTTGGCACCGCGGTCCCTGAAGTCCAAATTAGCAGAGGCACGTGATAACAGAGCGGAGCCCAGCAGAGGCACTTTCCATTAGCTCAACCACAAACTCCTGCCATCCCACATGGGACAGAGGAGGCTGTGGGTGCCCTCCCCACGTGGGTGACAGGGCAGAGCTCTCCCCAGCCCACTAGGGAGCCAGAGCAGAGTTGGGCAGGACAGGTGCTGTTCCCAGTTGGAAAAGCCAGGGTTGCTCATGCCCAGCTATAGCTCTAGGGTAGTATACCCATGAGATATAACCCCCAAGCAGCCGGGGCACTTAGCACCCAGTCACACTCCATACTCCCAGGCCTGGAGAAGGCATCCCAGAAAGTTCACAGCACTCTACTCAGGGAGATTCTCAGGGCTCCCTAGAAACACGAGGGCAAACCTCAGTACAAAACAAAGGTGCTTGTTTGGGAGAGAGGCTGTGGCAACAGACTTGAATCATGCACAGCTCATCTCTGCCCTCCCTATTCTGACCCTGTTGAGACTCAGATTCCTCCCATCTTTATTGTGCTTCTCTTGGGCTGCAGCAACAGCTCCCAATACAGAAAGAGAGCTGGGAGAGACTTTGGGATTGGACACCCACTGTCATCTCCTCATAACTCTCAGTGATACCCTGGGCACCTTGGCTCTTCTCAGCACCCTGCAAAGCCCAGACCACATACATGAGACAAGTCATGGGTCACTTCAGCAGACATCACCCAAGGGGCCGGGGACAGCAGCCCTGAAAGCTCTTCCCTTCCTGATCCAGCTGCACATCCATTCCACTCAGGGCAAACCTCAGTGTCTGCAGAAGCAGCACACAGCAGAGGTGCAGCACAGCAGCAGGTGTCTGCCCAGACCCTCACCACTGCTTTGCAGCATGAGGAGGTCACAGGGCACAGACCAGGCCAGCTGATGCCCATCCTGGACCACAGCACGGTCTTGGGGACAGAAACGATCCCACTCCACAGCTTTTAGGGACTGCCTGAGGCAATGTTGTTCAGCATGGCCCAGACACCCAGACAGAATTATTACACAGGTGTAGCAGGACAACAAGCCTCAGAGGGGTATGGGAAATCCCAATCTGGTTTCCAACACCTGGTCTGTGTTCCAGATGTAGAAAGTCCCACGTTTTCCCATTCCAGAGAGATGACCAGATCGGGGCTATTCCCATGCTCTCAGCCCAATCTAGAGCCTCTGAGCTCCTTCCAAAATATCCTTTCCCACACAAGCACACCCAGGAGACTGCACACAGGCAGTGTCCTTTGGGGCCTGCAAAAGATGAGAGAGGTATCACCATGAGGATACAGCTACCGTCTCTAAAGTACAGCAAGCCCCAATCCCAGCACCCCAGCAGGGAGTTTGGGTCTGGCACAGCAGGAGGATTTCAGAGCTGCTGCTGGTGTAGCACAGAGGAATAACCAGCAGGCTGCTGACTGCAGGTGACAGCCTGGCTGTGTTGCTCTCCCCACTCTGCTGCAGCACTGAACACAAGCAGGTTTTGTCCATACAGAGGTCTGAGAAGCAGAGTTCACACAAGACCAAAGTGTCTTTTGGAGCATCCCATGTGGCTGGACCTGACAGTCCAGGCACCCAATCTCCTGCCACCTCCTCCAGTGAGGCACCTGCAACCCAGCCTTGTGCACCAGTCACCCATCAGCAAGCCCCAGCCACCCAGCATGGCCCATGCACAGGCTCCTTTCATCCTCAGAAGACTCCGTGGTCTATCTGAATTGAGCTGGTATCTGCCCAGCCACCAACCAGGCTTCCAGGCCTGCAGAAGGCACAACAGGACAGCCCTTGTCCCCAGCCCCAGGGCTTGCCATGGCAGGAACTCTCAGCCAGCCAGGGGTGGATTTATTCACAATGTCAAGCAGAAGACAGGGCCATAGGGCTCCTCCAGCCTCTCATCAAATGCTGGCTGTGGCCACAAGGCACCCCACACTAAGCATTGGCACTGGGATGGAGCTTTCAGGGTTGCATCAGACACGGAGAATAGAGAAGTTGTGTTAAGAAGGTCTCTGCAGAGTAACTGCACCCCAAGGGCACAGTTCCCTTGGGGCCAACTAGCAGAACTTCCAGGAAGAGTACAAAGGGATATAATGTGGTCAAGTCTCATGCCAAGGCCAGGTAATTTGTCTCATTACGAAATGCCCACAGGACTTGCCTTTTCATCCAGGAGAAGCCCAGGAGGCACAAGTCCTTACAAACACAAGCTGCACAAAGGAGAGATTGCTGCTGTTAGAAGGCTTCTTTGCCGACTGGATAGGGCTGGCACAGCTTACAGCAGCAACCAGAGGCAGCCAGGGAAGACATGACAGACTGGGACAGCCAGGACTGCTGCTGGGATCCCATCAGCAGGAGCCATTCTCAAGGACTGTTAAGGGCTGCAGCACAGAGACTCCAGCCACACTTGGGCCCACCACAGCTCCTCTGCCTGCAGGGATCTCTGGGGCTGCTGCTGTTTCTCAGGGCTCGGCAGCAGCTGAGCTTTTGCTTGGTGCAGCACTGCACACATGTGGGGAAGTGGACACTGAGGAACGGGGGTACCCAGCAGCACCATGACCAGAGCTGTTGTGCTGTCACAAAAACAGGCAGCTGAGTACCCCAGCAGCCCCAGACATGCTGGGCACATCTCAGTGCTGCACTCACTACCTCCACAATTACAGCTGAGAGGTCTCCAGGTTCTGTCTGCTTAATGTCTAGAGGCTACTGCATGGCAACAATGCTGTCGCTTGAGCAGAGACAGCTGGAGAGCTCCTACGACAGGGCCAATGGAAGAACACTTTTGCAGCAAGCCTGGTACCCATGACACCGGCACAGCAGGGCTGTTCTAATTCCCAGCACCCAGCAGAACTGCACACAGGCCTGGGAAGCTGTGGCAGAGCCCCAAATTCAGCATGGCATCCCAGTCTTGCACCACAAACTTCCCTGCCTCCCATCTCCAAGCACCTGTGGATCTGAGCACCAGCCCGCAAAGGAAGCGGCAGGGATGTGGGACACAGCTCAGAGGAACAGTGCCAGGGAGTGCAGGGACGAGACCGGGCCCTTCCAGCAGAAAACTGACTCTGCCCGACCGTGCACCCACAGCCAGGCCACCCTGGGCAAAAGGCCACAAGTAACACGGGCAGGCAGGGGCCAGCATCTGCAGGGACAACAGGCAGGGAGCAGAAATGGTCTGTCCAGCCAAATGTTTCCATTCCCCATGTCCTCCCTGCCCCCTTCCAAAACAGCACCAAAGCAAGAGACAGCTGCAGCTTATAAGGAATGTGAGGGGCCCTGCCAGGGACTCTGGCGAGGGAAACCAGGCCTTATAAGGCCATGGAGGCAGAATCAAATTTTTATCAATGAGTGTGAGAGCATGGAGACGCCTGGGGAGAGATAACAGTGCTGAAAGCTGGCCAGGGGGGTGGGCTGGGCCAGTGGGGAGCCACGCTGCAAGGGCCAGGAGCAGGATACCTGCCACCCGCTTCCCTCCCTCTCTCAATCACCGCCACTATCAGCCAAGGAGCCAAACAGCCTCGAGATGACACGACACAAGCTCGCTGCAGTGGCAGCGAAAGGGGATTCATCCTCAGCTCCCAGCGCTGCTGTTTAGAGAGGGCTGGGGATGATCAGGGCTCCCAGCACAGCCCAGGCCTCCCTGGGTGCCCAGGAGCATTACCTTGGTCTCCCCGCTGCTGTCCGACTCGGACACCTGGTAGGTGAGGTCCGTCTCCTCAAAACCAGTGGCACTCATGCGCTGGTCAGTGGTGGGGTCTGAGCGTGGCGGCGAGTCCGGGGAATTGAGGCACGTCTGGATCAGCGCCTTCCCCGTCTCGCTGGTGATCATGGGCTGCAGCTTCCGCGTGGCAAACGTGTACACATGGCCCGTCTCGCTGGCCACCAGCAGCAGGACTTGAGTGCCAGTCAGCGTGGAGAGCTCATAGGCCTGCCAGCGGGACAAGGGAAGAACAGGGAGTCACAGGTGACAGGGACAGCGCACAGTGCAGGACAAGAGTCCCTGCATGTTCCCGCAATGGCTTTCCTTCTCTTCACAGCAGCTTCAGCTCCCTGCAACCCCAGAGGAGCTCTGGCCTCTAAAACCAACCCAGTACTGGCTCCCGGCAGGTTGAACTGCCCCATGCTGTATTCCCATCTCCTTTAGCACACCCTTAGGGGATGTGCCTGCCAAGAGGCCATGGGTAGAGTGCTCCCCTCAGTACAGCAGTCTGACAACATGGGGACATGAGATTGTCTCCATTCTGGAAATCCTACTGACTTCTCCACACATATCTGGATACCTCCCTCACCTCACCCTCATTGATGTTACTTGGCACACATCTCTGCTACCTCATTCCCCTCACCAACACCCCATCCAGGCTCCGACCCAGATTTCCCTCTCAGGCTCCAGACCTCTGAGCACAGCTGCACCCAAGCACCCCTGCAGCAAGGCCACCATGCCCCAGGTGAGGAATACCTGTGCACTAGGAAGTGCACTCTTCACATGCCACCACTGCACACCCAGCAGCCTCACAAAAGCTTCTACAGATAGGATGGCCTCATTCCATGTCCCGTACCTCCAAGATGTGCCCAGCGGTACCTCACACCCATTCCCACCTTCCCAGAGTGCATGATGCCCAGCTGAGCTGCGATGCAGCACTACCCAGTTGTTCAGAAGATGCTATGAGCACCACCAGGGATGCAGATCAGCCAGCAGCATCCAAAATCCGCCAAGTTCCTAATCTGTCTTTGCACACCAGGAACCACAGACAGCACTCCGGACCGGCCGAGACGTGGCGTTGGTCCCTTCCGTGGCCGAAGCAGCCAGTCCTACCGGGGGCAGGGCAGGCAGCTGTGCCACCGCACACTCGGTGTTTTGGTGGTGGCTCACAGCGAGGGGCCCCGAGGGCACCGGTCGGCACCGGCCCGAGGCTGGACGCCGCACCGGGATGGGCCCCCCGGGGCACATCACACGCCTGGCGACCGCCAAGCACGGCGGCATCCCCCGGCCCCGGGGGCTCCCGCTCCCGGCCGCCCGGCTCCGTGCCCGAGCTCCGCCGGGGGCTCCCGCGCAGCCCCCCGGAAGGGGCTGGTGCTGGGCCACCCCCCCCGGTCCCGCCCGCGGGACGGGGAAGCCGCCGCCGTTTCCGGGCACGGCCCGCCGGCCTGCTCAGCGCTCGGACCGGGCCGGGACTGCCGCGGACAGGTGGATGCCGGCCGGCATCCCCGCCCGTGCCGGACCGGACCGCCCCCCCGCACCGGCTGGAGTCGCGGGGCCGCACCTTCTTCATGATGCCGGTCTTCCTCTTGCTGAAGGTGGTGTAGCGCCGCAGCTTGTTGTCGATGAACTCCATCTTGATCTTCACCCGGCCCCGCGTCTTCTTCCCGGGCTTGGCGCCGCTCACGGCCCCGCCGCCCCCGCCGCCGCTGTAGGCGGCCGCCGCCGCCGCTCCCGCCGCGGGCCCCGCCGCCGCCGCCGCCGCCGCCGCCTCGGCCAGGCCACGCTTCACGCCGCGCCGCTCGCCGCCCAGCTCCTCCTCCTCGGCCGACTCCGAGTCGCCCTCGCTGCCGCTGTACAGCGCCTCCCGCTTCAGGCAGCCCCCGGGCGCCCCCGCCGCCGCCCCGCCGCCGTTCGCCCCACGCGGCACCGGCGACCGGCCCAGCCCCGAGCCGCGGGCCAGCGCGGCGGCGGCGCCGTTCCCGGCCCCGGCCTGGCTCGGCAACATCGCGGCGGCGAGCGCGGGTCGGGTCGGGCCGGGTCAGGCCGGCCCCGCCATGTCCCCGCCGCGCTCCGCGCTCACGGCCCCGCTCCGCCGCCGCCCCCGCCGCGCCGCGCCGCCCCCATATAAAGCGATACAATGTTGCCTTTTATGGCGAAGGCGCTCCTTATATGGGGCGAGACGGCGCCCCGTCGGGAGGCGCCGTTCCATTGGCTGGCAGCCGCCGAGCGCCGGCGCCCATTGGCCACCGGTTGGCGTTTGATTTGCATACGGTCGGACCGCGCTCGCGTCACGCCCGGGTTGGAACACGCAGGGCGGCTCTTAAAGGGACCGTGCCGCCGGCCGGGACAGCGGGCGCTCGGCCCGGACACGGACCGAGGCGGGGACCGACCGGGGGCTGCGAACGAGAGCGGGGAGACCCCCGGTGCCAGCCCTTCCCCGGGCTCCCTTCCCACCGCCAGCTCCGGGCACGCGGAGCTCTGGCACGGTCCTCGTAGGGGACACAGCACGTGTCTCAAAGATTGCGTGCCTCGCCATCCTCAGGATCCATCCAGCCGGCAGCGGCTCCGCCAGCAGCGATGCCACCAGTGCTGCTCAAGGCAGCTCCGCGGCCCGGCTGTTGTCACAGCCTGCAAGGGACAACGCGCCGTCCATTTGTGTCCGGTGGCTGCCGAGGCACCGAGAGGGCGTGGGGGCCACCTGGGTGTCCAGGGTGTGCAGGGCATAGGAGTGAAGCAGATCGGTCCAAAACACACTTTGCTGAAGCTGATCACTACCGAGTGGAAAAAAGATCTCCTGTGTAAGAGGATGGGCCGCAGGTTCCTTCAAACCCGCAGGGGGTGAGGCTGTGGTTCCGCACCGCGGCCATCCACGGGTGGGACAGAGCACCTGTGCGGGTGGGAAGGGGCTGTCACACCCTGGCCCATACCCTGCAGATGGCTCCAAGCACTTGGCACAGGTCACATCCTCCGTGCAGGTGTGACCCAGGAGCTCCAGAGCAGAGGGACAGCCCACAAAGGACAACTCTGTGCAAGGCACACTGCGCATAGGTCAGCAAAGGTGCGAGAGGGACAGCACAGCCCCAGAGCCCAAAGCTGTGAGGACAGACAGACAATTCTTAGTTGACAAAAGGGGGTCTCCCACAAGCTGTCCTACAAACAGGAGCTGCAACCCAGGGCAAGGCCCCGCCTCCGGCAGCAGTGCTCTGGCCACAGACCCATTTTGTCTCCTGGAGTTCTGCAGCACCCATGGAGCGCTCTGCAGCTCGCACGGGCCCTTTCCATATCTGCCTCATCACTCAGAGGACACGCACGCTCAGCACCAGCCCTCACAGCTGTCCCCCACAGCCCAGGGCCAAGCTCCTACACAGCAAGGGAGTAACTGCAAACCCCGACACCCCCCTGCCTGCCACCGCCGCCTCCCCCTCCTCCCGCCAGCCATGCTCCTCCAGTGAGCACACATGCCATTTATAGCTCCCAGCAGGGCTGCTGGAACTCACATGCCTCCCATCACATGCCCTGGCCACCCTCCCCTCGAGCTGAGCACAAGCTACACCTGGCACAGGTGAGACCGAGGCCTGGCCGAGTCCCGCCAGGCTGAGGGAGGGTCAGCAGGACCCTCAGCCAGGCTGGGGACACCACTTTGGCAGGGGACAATGAGCACACGGACCTGATAGGCACAGCCAGGGTGGTCTGCCTGCTCAGCACGAGTGTGCAGTCACCGCAGGTAGCAGGACTTGGTTTCCTCTTGCTCATGGGAGGGCTACACACCCCTTTCCTCCTTCTCTTCCCTGGGCCTTCCAATTGCAAGGCCTTTTGCTCCCCAAGCTGCAGGAGTGTCTACACAGGCAAGAGGTGAGACCTGGCTCCTTCTGGGTGGCTCATCCCTCTTCCTCCAGTCCTTTCCTTCCCCAGCCTCATCCTGTGGATGCTCTCCAAGATGCCTGTCCTTGTGCTCTAAACAGGCCCAGAGCTTCAGCCTGCCCCAGCTTCCTGGCATGCCAACCTCTCACCAAGGCAGCCAGACCCACGCCCTGTCCCCAGGCCACTATCACCCACAGGACACAAGTCACCAGCAGGTCTTCCCTTGACCAAACCAGCAGCCACTGACAACAGGAAGCAGCTTAAAGCAAGTTTCCAGCCTTCAGGGATTTTCTTATTTACAGCCCCCACATCATAAAATTTCCATTTCTAGCCCTGTTTAAACACAGCTTTAGGGCACAGCACTTGACAGTATGCCTTAAAAGTCTCTTAAGATTCCCCCAAAGTCCCCTCCAGACAAGCTGCCTGACAGCTCCACAGGAGCACAGACCCTGCTGCCAGCATGACCCCAGCCCTCTACACCCCCTTTTCAATCCTTTCTAGGCCATTGCAACAAGTGCTTCCTCACCCTTTTCCAGCTCTTCATCCATACTCCAGCAGGGTGCTGGGGATGTGATGGTTTCCATCCTGTTCCTGATCTTCCTACTACTGATACTCCAGCTGCTTTTTCTGACTGCTACTGAGTACAGTTAGCTGCTCTTTTTTTAACAGCCAGATCTCTTCTATGAGCAGTAACAACTAGAACAGAGGTACTGTTGCACGTGGAAAACTAGGTTATGGCCTTTCTTAATTTGTGGTTTTTGTTTTTTTTTTTTTGGCCAACAGACAGGTGCAGGAATGGGGCTGCTCCCTCAGGGGTGACCCCAGGTATAATAAACCCACAGTACCTGAGCAGAGCAGCAAAAGGTGTTGGCATCAGGGGCATCCACAGAGCAAGCCATGGAGTAAATCCAGCATCCACTTGGTTGTGAGAGAGAGCCAAAATCCTGACTGGATAATAAGGCTACTACCTATGCCTAGAAGACAGGGCTAGAGGCAAGGCCAAAACAGGAACACCTACAAGCTTGCTTAAAACAAACCTGAAAGCACAGGCTTGAGCTGAAATGCAGCTCAGGAGTGTGGGGGAGCCCCAGGTGAGGCTGCTTAGGACAATTAAGGCCCATTCGTTTCCACACAAGTGCCTGACACAGCTGCAGAAGAGCCACAGGGCAGCAGAGGAAATCCGAGCAAACCAAGCAGCCCTTCCTCAAGCTGCACAGCACTCATGGACCAGGGCTGCTCAAAGGATGCAGGGGGAATTTGGGTAACTTCAGGGCAAGAGAAAACACCAGGAACTTCCTGATGGAACTGTCTGGTTTGGATGTCTGTGCCTTAGGGAGTTGTTCATTGGGACTAACATCTGCTTGCTGCTCTCTTACACCGTTCAGCGAATGTTCAATTTTGGTCACAGCTGGTGGCTCTCTGGGTGGACCTGGGCTCTGATGGAGCCATGTGGTTCTTTCTGGCCCTGGATCCCCCACACACTCCTCTGCAAGGTGTTCCTTCAGTTTGGGTTGAGGCAATTGGATCCCACCTCTTGGCAACTGCCAAGGTGCTCTCCTTCTCCTGCAGGGACCCTGATTCCCTGCCTTGCTCCACCACTTTTAGCTGGGACTGTATTTGCTCAGCTTGCTGTTTCCAATTACTTTGGCCAACATCTCTCCCCTCCCCAACGATACAGAATTTTTTCATTACATCACTCCCAAAAATACACAATCCCAACCCCCATCATTCTGCACTCTTTGGGTCTGGAGCTTGGCCTAGCTTTGGTGACTTTCCATTTGGGTGCTTCCCTGTAGTCACCAGGTCTTGTCTGCATGGCAAACAGGCTGTGGAGCCTGCAGGATGTGTTGGGACAAAGCAGAGCCCCCAGTCCTGATGCTGCTCACAGAACCAGCTCACTGCAGCCATGCTGTACCCTCCCAGGCATGAGATGCCTGCATGCACAGAGCTGGCAGAATGAGGGTGGTACCCCCAAAATCCTTGGCATCTCTGGTCTCTAGCCATGGCAAGGCTGAGATTCTGCTTGGCTAGGCCACCACAAGTGGCTTGGCTGCAGGAATCAGCCCACAGAGTGCAGTGCTCCTACCTGGAAGGAAGGACAGCAGACAGGAAAGTCCACAGGAATGGAATGGATGTGAGAAGTGGAACAAAAGGGCATCAAACAATAGCAAATGCACGAGACAGGTCACTTGCAAGTTGTAGAGCACATAAGCAGCAGTGCCACAACACTCACATGCTTCAGAAGGGTTGCACACACACTGGGGGGGACATGAGGCTGCAAGGAGTAGAAGGAAAGGCACATCCTGATCCCTCTGTCCCCACCAGGCACAGTGCCACCAGTCCCACACTGTGGCCAGGCCCCAGGTCATGGAGGCAGCCAGAGGTCACGGTGGCAGTCACCTGCTGCCAAGCCTACTACACCAGGGGGACGAGGTCCAGCAAACCAGACCTGGTTGTCCTCCTCTAGAGAGGGGCCCAACACCCAGCCACTGCCACAGCTTAGCTTGCCAAGAGACCTTGGCCTGGGGAGTCCATATCCCCACCTGCAAGTGTTGGAAAAGGGACAAACACCTTTGGTAACTGGCAGAGCAACTGCCAGCAAACTTGCTTGCACCCTTGCTTGCACACTTTCCAAGCTTGGACCAAATCTGAACTCAGGGCCAGCCAGCATATTCCAAGAAATGAGCACTTTACCCCCTCCAGCACCTCCATAACCTCTTTGGGTAGCAGAGATGGGAAGAGGGTCCTGGACATACCTGGTCCATCCCTGATTAAAGCAGAGCCAACTATGGGTAGTTCAGGACTTCCCTGGTCCAGCATTGGGTGTCTCTGATGATGATGATGGTGATGCCACAGATTCTCTGGGACTCAAATCTTAATTACCCTTGAGGGGAAGTATTTCCCCTAACACCTGAATGAATGTCCCTTGTGCAGCTTGTGCCCACTGCCCCCAGTCCAGCCCCATCAGGCCTCCTGCCAAAGCTCAGATCTGTCTGTATAACCCCCCAAGCCAGGGCTGTGCAGCCAAGTGGAGCTGCTGGTCCCAGTGCCTCACTCTGGCTCCAAGGGACAAGCCCATGCTGGCCTGGCTCATGATCATGCTGTGGGGCTGGGGCTACTTGTACACCATGTGCACACCTGTCCTCTCCCAAGGAGACTGCCAGGACCCTGCCATTGTTCTGGGCCATGAGCACAGAGGAGAGGGCTGCAGACCACGTGTGACAGCAGGATATCCCCCAGGGTTCCATCCAGGCCTGGCCCTGCCAGCATCCTGCAAGAAGCTGAAAATCTCCTGTACAAACCCACAACCCACTGTGGGCTGTGGAGCTGCCCCAGGCCACAGAGGTGGGTGCACAAACCAGTACCTGAAGTGGGGGCAGCCAACCAACATGTCCCATGAGTGGCTGTTTGCCTGGAGTCTTGAGAAGGACATTTTCTCTTCAGACAAGTCCCTCTTGGAGAGCAACTCATGACTGCCCAGAGAGACAGCAAGTGCTGAGGAAAAGTGCTCCCTCAAGGCACACAGGGCTGGGAGCAGCATCTCAGATTCACCTGAGAAGGGGGCAAAGGGGTTAAACACAGCAGACAGATGCCTGAGGAATGAGCCCCAAACCCTTCCTAGGAGCCATGCGGAGGAAAACCGCTATCTGACAGCAGTATTTTACAAAGACAAAAAAACAAAACAAAACAAAAAAAAAGCGCCTTCTTTATTGAGAGCAGCACGTAAAAACCCAACAAAACCCAACCCTTCTTGGCTGCAGTACCCTCCACTCAAGCAAACAAACTAACCCAACTCTAGGCTGCATTCCAGTAACAGAAATACTATGGTAGGGAGGAGTCAGCGCTCTGGAAGAGGGAGACAGGGGGCTCTGCCCAGAGTCATAAGTACAAAAAAAGGCACAGGGTAACTGGGAAAGGTAGTGAGCTCCTTCATATGCCAGGCACTTTGTGCTCCTGTTGGCTGGCCTGTCCCCATGGGGAAGGGGAAGGCAGGCATGCCTAGCACAGACGGACGGACGGACAGAGGGCCGGGCCAGGCCAGCAGAGGTGGATGTGGTGAGCAGGGACGCCCGAGCTCTGCCGTGGGAGGGAGGGGCGGCTGCTCCATCCACACCAGCAGCCTGAGGGCACCGGGCTGAGCAGGCAGGGGGCAGGAGGCAGCAAGGGCTGTCTTTTGGGACCCACTGGGGAGGGGGGTGGGGCTGGGGTACACTGGCTTGTGCTTTGAGTCCAGCAGCTGCTGATGCTGAGCTGCTCGCTGGCGCATCGGGGTCAGCAAGGGGCTGTGGGAGTGCCAGGGGCACACACAGACCCCTGTCCACCCCGCCACATCCTTCACCAGCAAGGGCTGGGGTGCTCAGGCTTTGCTGTCAGCTGGGCTGTCCCCCAGGGTGGTGGCAAGCTCGCTGAAGGAGGGCCGGTCCTTGGGGCTGGGGGCCCAGCAGCGCTGCATCAGCTTGGCCAGGCGGGACGGGCAGCCCTCGGGGGGCGGGAGCTTCGTCTTCCCTGACTGGAGACCTGGCACGAAAGGAAACATTGGCAATGGGCGTGATCCTCTCTGGGGGATGCAAGGAGAGCAGGAGTTCTCCATGCAGGCTGGGACAGCCTCCCCAGCCAGACCAGCACTGTCATCATACAGCCCATCTGGCCCCCTTTACCACAAGTAAAGCACCTTGTGCTGTTCCCTACAAGGTGCTCCACGTACCTGCTAGCACCTCATCATCTGCCAGTGGAGTGTAGGGCATCTCCCCATGCGTGAAGACCTCCCACATGAGCACCCCAAAGGACCACACATCCGACTTAGTGGAGAACTCATCTTCCAGCACGGCCTCAGGTGGCATCCAGCGCAGCGGGATCCAGGCCTGGCGGAAGTGGTAGTACTCGCTGCGGGGGCAGGACAGGCAGGCAGTGAGACTTGGTGCCATTTCATCCCCTCCCATTCCCCTGTCAGGCTCCCTGACCTGTTGTACACGTCCTTGCTGAGGCTCAGGGAGGAGACCTTGACCTGGCGCTGTGCGCTGACCAGGCAATTCCTGGCTGCCAAATCCCGGTGCACGAACCTGCCGTTGGAGAGGTGCTCCATGCCCAGGGCCACCTGTGTGCAGAGAGACACCTGACCCCAGAGAGCTGTCAGCACTGGCTGCCCTCCTTAGGCTCCCCAGCCCCAGAGCACTTCCAGAGCTGCACGGTCACCTTGTGTTTGGTAGTGAGTGGCTGTGGCTTCAGAGACTCATCTTTGCTTTTGGAGATTCTCAGAAACTGCTTCAGGTCCCCCTGGAGACAGACAGCAATTCAGAGTCAGCATCTCTACATAATGACAAGGCTCACTGGTCCCTGCAGTGCCTGGACGTGGCCAGCCCACAGATCCTCATCTCCTGATCCATGGTTCCTGCCTGTTCTCCTGGTCCCTGCCTTGTAGCGAAAGCCAGTATCTTGTTTCTGGGCCTCAACTGGCTAAGATTAGGGCAAGCAAGCCTGAAATCTCCAGGTTTTTCATGCCCCAAATTTATTTCTCTTCTACAAACTCCAGACTCCTCACAGCCCTTAGCATTCACAGCCATTCTGCAGCATGAAGTCCCACAACTTAGCTTGTATAGCAGAGCCCAGGACATAAACCAGAAATTAGGAGATTGCAGAGGACAAAGTCACCTCCAGGTCTTGCGGGAGACTCCTCCAGAGGCTGGGAACAGCAGTAAGCTCAGCCTGGTCTCCTTACACCTCGGCTGCCCTGTGCTGCCAGCCCATTGCCACACTTGAGGCCCCACTCCCTCTGCTGTCACATCCCTGCTTCCCTGCTGGCAGGGCCCTTACCAGGTCCACGTACTCCAGGACCATGTAGTGAGGCTCAGCCTCACGGCACAGCCCCAGCAGCCGCACCACGTTGGCGTGGTTCAGCTTCCCAAACATCTCTGCCTCCCGCCGGAAATCCAGCTGCAGCTGCTCATCCCTCGTCTGCAGGCTCTTCACCAGCACCAGCACCTCGCCCTCACCATCTTCTGCACCTTTGGCCTTGGCCAGGAACACTTCACCAAACTCCCCCCTGCCTGCAAGTGTGGGGAAGCACAGGGGAAGGCGGCGTGCATTAGGAGAACGGGTGTGCTTGACATTCCAGGGGCTGCAGGGCCCTCTGTACCCAGCACATCCTGTTTTCTGGCTGGGACATGCTGGGGTTTCAGCCACAGGTGTCCTGCTGGAGTGGGGACACGGCCAGGGTGGCCCAGCATACCCAGGGTTGTGATTGTCTGCAGGTTGGAACGTGGAAAGTGCATCTTGTCCGTAGCGCTGTGGCGCTTGCTGGCCCCAGAGCTGCTGCCCAGGCTGGTCAAGGCCACTTCTTCCTGAATCTCTGCTGTCATCTGCCCATTCTGCAGCAAAGCACCGCCTGCCAGGGAAGCACAGACAGCTTCAGCATCCTGCCAGGCCACACAGTGAAAGCTCAGCCCCTCCTGGGGCTCTGACACTCCGAGCACTCCAGCCCCAGGCAGCAGAGTGGCCTGGCCTCAGTTTTTGCCCCATCTCTGGCAGCCCAGCAGCCACCCTTGAAATCAGATGCTGAGCAATGGCTTTGGTCCCAGAGCCAACCAGACCCATCTGGCCTTGTCCATCCCACTCAGTCATCCCCAAGCAGTGGCTACATCCAAACTACCATGGACAAAACCCTGCAGGACAGCAGCAGGAGATGGGATGGGCGAGGCAGAGGTGGAGCAGATGGACACTGCTCACTATAGCCAAAGTCTCTTGATATCCAAGAGACTCTCAAGTCTATCTGACACCAGCTGCTGCAGTCTGATGTCCCTGCTCCTTACTCACTTCCCAGCAAGCCTTGGGAATGTCCTTGGAAGTGCTGAACCTGTAAGACCAGACCAGCCTGGATTTTAACTGGCTGGGTTAAAGCAGTGCTAGGAAGCGCTGTCCTTGCAATCAGCCCCAGCAAGCTTTCTGCACAGGAACTTCACTAGAAATTTCCCTAGCACAAACACAAGCAGCCAGAGAACAGGACAAAGCACGATTGCCTTGAGAAAATAGAAAACCCTGCATTTCACAGGCACCTTGTAGAGAAATGACTTCATAGATGGCAAACCTTGATTTTGAATGTATTTACTGCTTGATCAGACCTGGTTACTAGGAAGAGGTACTGTCCATAAGATGAAGGCAGGAGTTGGAATTTAAAGCAGGGAACAGCCCTGAGCTTAGAGTCCCTCACACCCCTCCAGCATCACTACTCCATTTCAGCTGCTCCTGGAATAAGCACTAGGCAAACAGCCACACAATAGGAAATTTTTAACAAAATTAAGACAACCCAGCATGTGGTAAATCCAACAGAGTCCCACTGCCTGTAGTTTCCATCAGAGGCTGTTGCATCACACAGTGAGTGTACATGCCTGCTTACAATGCACGTGTGCAAGGCAGGTACCAGCACATCCTGAGCAGGCCTGGCCACCGTGACGGGGACCATGGCTTTGTCATAGGTGGGGCTGGAGCTGTGAACACTGAGATATGTTGACTTAAGAGCCATGGCTACTGACATCTGTCTGCTCTCACAAAGTACAGTAAGATTTGCAAAGATAAAAACAAAAAACCACCACTTACCCTATAAATCAAAGCTGGATGCTCCTCACACTCTCCCTGGTTCTACACTCATTATCAGCAGGACTGTCTGACCCTCTGCTGTCTGCACTCATGACTAATGGTGTCTCAAGACCACAAGCTTGAAGCCAAGAGGATAACACAAGACGACCACTGCAACTGTGCCAAAAAAATCCAGAAGGCTGCAGAGTGATGAGTGTGCTGCCACTGAGAGACAGCACCAGCAGGCAGCAACAAGAGCCACTTTTGAGAACACACATGTTCATGTTTCACAGAGCCTGGACAAGGCACTTGGTAACAAAAGGACAGGAGGCTTGATGTATCCAGCAGTCCAGAGAGGAACCAAGTGTGAGGAAGCTGCCTGCTTTGCCCACCTGCATGTAACAGACACAGGAGCATCTCCTGGAGAAACAGACACAGCCATGCTGCCCTGGAGACACTAGCACAGAGATCAGTCCCCACAGCCATGAGCCTCCCCAAATGCTATGTCTGTATTCAACAACAACAAAAAAAAAGCAGCACAGTCAGCCATGGATACTGAGAGCAAGCTCTCCTTACAGAGGATGTGGCACAGCAAGGACGTGACCTTGGAAAGTAACTGGATGGTTAGGAGTGCACTGATCCACAGGAAATCCATAGCAAAGATCCACTGCAAGTCTGTGGAGAGATTAAATCTGTCTGGACCCTGAGAGCACTGGAAAAGTCAGCTGGTGGTCAGCCAGGGAGTACCTGTAGGTACTCAGGCAGGTGCTGAAACACTTTGGGTCACCCAGCTAACGAGGGACCACAGCAAAAAGAGGCAAAGAGCCAGATCTTAGAAGACTGTGGTGAATGGAATAACTCCACTAGAGCTGACAGCAAACACAAACCACTTCACCAGAGAGGCTGTGGAAGTACCAAAAAGGAATGTAGACATCTGGGAAGCTGGGTCTGCTTGTAAGAATGAGGATGCACCTGGCAGCTAACCTGGTTCCAAATGAAGGGAATAAGAAGAGGCAAACTCTAGCAGAAAAGAAATATAATAAAGACAGGCCAAGATAAAAATCTGAGACCACCTCAGAAACAACTGAAAGAAATTCTTTCCCAGGAAGGGGATGCTGGCCAGAGCACAGGTGAGCTACCTGTGACTTTTCCATTGAAAGATCTCACAGTGGTGGCAGATGCAGAGCACAAAGCTGCTGAGATGCTCCTGCATCCCTGCTCCTAGGAGGTTCCCCACAGCCAGACTTCTCTTCTGGAGGTTTGGCTCTGCTCAAAGTGCCAATGCAAGGAGAAAACCAGGAGGCAAACCTAGCAGTTATGTTTTGCCAGGCCCTCACAGACCTCAGAGCATGTGGTCAGGATGTGGCTGTGTGCTGGAGAACTGGGAGGGGGAACATCTGCATTTATGGGAAGTATGAATGAGGAGATCCAGGGAATTAGGAACAGCAAGCTCAACTGCACCCCACCACTTACAAGTCCTCACTGGAGATAACAGAGGGAGTTCAGTGACACATCTTCCCTTCAGCACCAGGAGCAGCTGAAGTCTGATTTGAAGAGGCCAGCAGAATACTACTGTTTCATTACATTGCACCAGGGATCCTTCCCTCCCCTGGGACATGTGATCCCACGTGCAGGTGCTGGGATGCAGGAGTGAGACACAACTCAGCAGGCAGAGATGGCACAAGGTGAGGCTGGGATTTAGGTTTCACACTGACTTGCCCATTTCTCACCTGGCAGCAGGTCTCTGCCATCAGCCAAAAACCACAGAGTGAGAGACCATGGGTTAGGAGTCCTCCTATCCCCTGGGAGCTCCCTGCCCCTCAGGCTCTCCTGCACAGGGACAGGGAGCTGTGGTGAAGCCCTGACCCTCAGGCGTACCGGCCTCACCGTTCAGACACTCCATCTCAGGCTCCTCGCCCTCTGGGTGCTTCTTCAGCCTCTTGGCTTTTCTCCTCTTCTTACAGTAGAACATCAGCCCCAGCACAATAATAATGTAGGCAACAGCTGCCCCCACTGAGAGCCCAATGGTCTGGATCATCTTGTAGGGTGTGTGGCTGGCAGGTCCCTCATCCTCTTCTGCTGCTGGCTTGTCTGTGGGGCAGAGAGCATCCAGCACATGGGGGTGTGGAGGGATTTCCCAAATCCTGCTCAGGAATGTGCTGGAGGGATGTGAAAAGCCTCCAGCCCCCTACCCACTGCTGTGGCCACCAGCCTCCACCACCTCCTCACCCAGCCACAGCACGCTGGGCACATCCCACAGCACACTCTGCTGCATTCCAGCAGGGATGCTGCTGGGACTGCCTGGTAGGCACAACCAGAGCCAGAAGCAGGGCCTAGAACTGCCAGGGATTCCAGGAGGTCACGTCCCAACCCTGGGCACCTTCCTTACCTACAACATAGAGGAATGCCTCCCGGTGCTTGATATTGCAGCTGTTGCCAGCGATGCAGGTGTATTTTCCTGAGTCCTCGGAGGTGACGTCGTAAATCACCAAGGAGCCATTGGGCATGATCTGAATCCTGCCAACCACACACACAGAGCTCTTTGCAAACACCAAAGGGCAGAGGGAGGCCTGGGGCACCTGCAGGCCCACGTCCCCACTGCCATCAGCTTCCATCTCAGGCTGTGCAACACTTAAGAACAGATGACTGAAGCTCAATCACAGCTTGGCAGGCTGTGGCAGAAAGGGAAACCCTGGGGCCAGCAGAGTCCAAGTCCTGGCACGTGGAGTCAACCACCAAGCTACAAGCTACAGGATTGCACCACTGGCACCCTCATACTGGGCAGTGATGGGGGTACTTGGGAATGTCCTGCTGCACCACATGTCAGTTTGGAATGGAGGCTGTGTACCTGGGCAGGAGCTTGCCAGGATCCAAAATCTTGTCCTTCCCTTTCCACTGGATGTGCGGTACGGGGTCCCCCTCTGCCTGGCACTGGAACATGGCTGTGTGGCCCGGGTACACCGTTGTGGGCTCTGGCTCCAGCTTGAAGGTGACGTAAACTGAAGGCAGAGAGGCCAAAACGAACTCTGTCAGCTCCTGGGAATGGTGCTAAGCTCCCACCAGGGAGCACAGCCAGCACGGTGGCACGGTGGCACGTGCCCTCCCAGGCTGCATGCAAAGCACTGACAAACTGTGAGGCACAGCTCAGGACCAGGCCAGACACCGCTTTCTCTGCCACCCAGGCCAAGCCAGCCCAGCAGGAAACACCCCTGCCTGCCACAGAGCCCTCACCTGCTACCACGAGCTGCACGGTGGCGCGGATCTCGCCCTGCGGCCTGTTGGAGGCGATGCACGTGTAGTTCCCTGAGTCGCTCCTGCTCACCTTGTGGAAGGACAGGATGCCAGCATTGTGGCTGACGTGGGATGGCAGGCTGCTCCCATCTGCAGGACACGAGAGCACGGATGCAGCAGTCGTGCAGCACGCACGGGGCCACGCTGCTGCTTCACCCACGTGAAGGAGGTGGGACAAGGTGAAGCTCCCGTGGCCTCAGGTCAGAAGCAGGCACACCACAACCAAATCCCCCTGACCTGTCTTAGTCCACTGGATGGTGGGTTTTTCCCGGCCCGTGGCCGAGCAGGACACTGTAACCTCCTTATCAAACTCCATGCACTGCAGGGGCTGAGGTGGCGGCGTGAACTTCAGCTTCTCTGCAACAGACAGAGGCGCCGTTTAGGCTCCCTGGAGCTGGAGGTGTCACTCCTGCAGCCACCAGGGAGGGACATGAGGGGCTGCCAGCCTACCCAGCACGTGCACGCGCGCGTATCCCTCGATGCTGCCCGCCGGGGTGCTGCTCACACACTTGTACATGGTGCCGTCGTACACCTCCACGTTGTTGATGCGCAGCGTCCCGTTCTCCGAGATCTCAAACCGCGAGTCCTGCCCAGAGCGGGGGAAGGAGCGGGGCACAAGTGACGCTGTCACCAGCCCTAGGGTCAGCCCTGGCTTGTGGCACTGCTGACACTCCACGTGCCACACCGTGCTCCAGATAAGCACAGCCCTGCTGAGACCCACGTGGAGAAGCGAGACAAGCTGCGGGGACCTTTTTCTTTGCCCTGCCCCAAAAGCACAGGGCTGACTGCCAGCCAACTGTGCACCCACACATCAGGAGGAGGGAGCTAGTGCCAGGAAAAAGGCCAAAGTGGGGGTGACAGGGAAGCTGGGCCTAGGAACAAGGTGAGAAACAGCAGCAGCAGAGCAGGTGCCCAGCAGGAGTGCCCACGAGGGGCAGGGGCTCGCCTTGTGGCCTCACCTCAGAAATGGAGACGCCATTGCGGTACCAGGTGACGGTGGGTTTCAGGGAGGCCTTGCTGAGGCAGTGCAGGTATCCTGGCTTGCTCTCCTCCAGCTGGCTGTCCTTGGGCATCTCCACCCATTTGGGTACCGCTGGGCATGAAGGCAAGGGTTACACAGAGCCACTCACTACCCCTCTGGCCAGCAGCAGTGCAAACACACAGGCAGTGTGCAACCCGCAGCTCAGCCATGAGAGGTGCCTCTCTGTATCAATGAGGTAATGAGCCACGCTGCCCAGCTCACCCTAACCCCCTACCCAGCCCCTCTTCTGCTCCCACCCTTTTCAGAAAGTTTCCTACTAGCCACAGTGATGCTTAGCTCCTGTTTCTTCTCTCCAGCCTTGTTGGCAGCGTGGCACGTGTAGATCCCTGCATCCATCTCTGTGATACTGGTGAAAATGAGCTGCTCTGCCTCTTGGTACACCCTGCCAGCAGTGGGAACTCGTTCCTGGTTTCTCTCCCACCAGACCTGGGGTGTGGGTATGCCTTGTGGGGCAGTGCAGGAAACGCGGTGCCCCTGGTTTGCTGTCAACACCTTTGGGGAGAAGGGCGCCATGTCTTCAATCTCTGAGAGGAACAAGAGACCACAGGGCTCAAAGAGGGCAACAAGATGTAGCCAACCCACCAACACCATCATTCACAGGGGAGGCACCATTTAAAGGTGAGAGCACACAAATTGTTTGCTGCCCTCATCCAGAGAGCAAGGACGAACCATTGCATGTACTGACCCACTGCTACATTGTCACATAGCTCCAGGGTGACACTGGAACTCTGGGGACTCACTGCCCACCCTGTCACCAGACCTCACCTGCCAGCCGCAGAGTTGCCTTCAGCACGAGACTCTTCCCCCTCTGCCCGTGGCCAACGCACTTGTAGACACCGGTGCTGCGAGCCCTCACCTGGGTGATCAGCAGGGAGCCATTGGCAAACACGGTGGTCCTGGGCACATGGGGAGAGCAAGGGCTCAGTGGGCACCTCTGCAGGACATGGGCCACAGCCACAGAGCTGAGATGTCCTGCATGAGCCCGTGAAACCAGGAGGGGCCATGCCAAAGCTTCCCACCACACGTGAACAGAATGGTCAGGATACATTCTTCATGGAGGAAATGAGCTCGCCGAAGTTTTTTTCTTGGCGAAAGAGCTGGCTCCCACCAAAAAATGCATCAGCAAGCAGGAGCCAGTTCTGGGAGCACACAGAGCCAGGAGGAGGGGCAGGGGACACAAGGTGGCGCCCGGGGGCTGCCAGGCCGAGGGCAGCCGGCACCCAGACGGCACTGCTTGCTTTCCAGAGCCTGGAAGAGACATCCCAGCTCCGGGATCACTGCCCTGGCCTGCAGACTGCCCCATGCTTAGGCTCTCCGGGGCACAGAAACACTCCTGGCTCTGGGGATCACCATGCACATGGATGTGCAAGTGCAGGAGAGCCATGGGCCCAGTGATTGCTGTGCAGATGTTGGGGGCTGGGAGGTGTTCCCAAGTCTGGGGATCACCATGTGTTAGAATCAAGTACTGGGACACATCCCTGACTGTGAATTGCCCCAAGTGGGTGTCTGGAGCTTGAGCTTCCCTGGCTCCACAGAATCACCACATCTGGGTGATTCTCTAATCCCTAACTGTGGGACCATCATGCATGGGCATCTAGAACTGACAGCCCCACAGATTCCTGTGAGGACAAACTGCTCCCTGAGTCCTGTTCAGGTAAATGCCATGCATAAGGACCAAGGCCCTGCTAAACCCAAGCCAGTCAAGCTGAGAAACCAATCCCCATGACCACTCTGATGTTGTGTGCTTGCCCTCCTGTCCAGGCAGGGTTTGACCTCTCTCTTCTGGAACACAGTGCCCCTCTCCTCCCAGCCCTGCCCACATCACTGGGGTCCCTGTTACTTGGATCTGTTGGTGACAGGGTTGTCTTCAAAGAGCCATTCCTGCGTGGGAGGGGGCACAGCTGCAAACTGGCAGTCAAACATGGCCTCTTCGTTCTTGGTCACGATGAGGTCCTGAGGGACGATCACTGCCTGAGGAAAGCTCTCATCTGCAATGGCACAGACCACAGGAGGGTGAGGGGGACAGAGGGGCCTGCAGTGTCCCCAGAACCAGTGCTCTGGGAAAAGCTCAAAGAAGAGCTGGGTGTGCCCTGCAAGCCCAAAGGAGGCAAACGTGCCAGCACAGCTGGAGTTAGGGACTCAGAGCCCAGGATTGCATGTGAGAGCTGCTCAGAAGGGAAAACCCCTTCTGTTTCCAGCATGGCCCTGAGCACCCTGGTTCCTAGTGAACAGATCAAAGCTGACACTGGACAGCAAAATTCCCCTGTCCAGTTCCAAATATCCCTCTAATGTCGACAATTCCTGCCCTCCTTAGGCCTTTCCTCCAAAGACCAACAGGGCATTTACTCACATGGCAATGACACTAGCAAAACCAGAAGCACCTACAGCCTCCAGGGTGCTCCATTACAAAAGAAGACAGCATAAATCTGCTCCAGAAAGACACAGGGGTGAATTAACACACACAGACAGGGCTGGGCTCCAGCCTGGCTGTGGTGGTGTTCGCAGGATGAGGGAAGAGATGAGAATGTTGACTTTATGTTTCAGAAGGCTTGATTTATTATTTTATGATATATATTACATTAAAACTATACTAAAATGATAGAAGAAAGGATTTTATCAGAAGACTAGCTAAGAATAGAAAAAGAATGATAACAAAGGCTTGTGACTGAGACAGTCTGGACAGCTAGACTGTGATAGGCCATTAATTAGAAACAATTACATGAGACCAATCACAGATCCACCTGTTGCATTCTACAGCAGCAGAGGATGGTTGTTTACATTTTGTTTCTGAGGCTTCTCAGCTTCTCAGAGGAAAAAATCCTAAGAAAAGGATTTTTCATAAAACACGTCTGTGACACCTGGCCAGGATTCGTTGGGTCTGTCTCTGCCCAGAAGCTTTGCACAGAGGAAAGCCACACTAGGCTGAGGTTCCCCTGCAGCAGAGCAGGCTGTGGGGCAGGGCAGTGTGACAGCTGGGACACAACTTACCGATGACATTGAGCGTGAAGTTGTTGTGGCTGCAGACGGAGCCGACGGCGCTGCGGGCGCAGCAGGAGTAGAGCCCGTTGTCATCGGGGCTGGCGCTCGGCAGGGTCAGTGTCCGCTCCTTGTTGCTGACAGAGTAGGAGCTGTGGCTCTCCGAGAGGGGGACACCGTCCCGGAACCACTGCCACATGGGGCTGCAAGACAGGGGCGAGCGGGTGAGCACGGGCACGGCGCCGTCAGGGCTGCCCCGGGAGCGGGTGTGCGGAGGAGACAGCCCAGAGATGGCCCAGTGCCCTGGCTCTCCGTCCCGCTGCCGGCCCCGACACAGACACGAAGCCATGAGACATGCAGCCAAGGTGGACGGGACACGACTGGGAAGCGACGGAGAGTGACTGCAGCACACCAAGCAGCTCAGCAGCTGGGCTGTGACAGCCCATCCTTACTGTGCTCCTCGCTAGGCGGCTCTGGGGAAGCCGTCTGCCTTCTCCCGCGGCGCTCAGCACAGGCTCAATCCTGCCCTTGGCCTTCCCTGACTCTACTGAATTCTTGCGGGAGAGAGGAGGGGAGTGGGGGAGGAGCAGAAAGAAAAAAGGTGGCGGGGAAGAGGGAGGGGGATAGAGAGAGAGAAAGAGAGACCACACAGCCAAGGTGCAGGGGCCCCTGGCAGGGTCCACTCCTCAGGAGGCAACCCTTACCGTGGGTGGCCATCGATGTGACACCGCAGCACCACTGTGGAGGAGGGCTGGATCTCAGCTACGCTGGCCGGCTGCTTCAGAACCACACTGCCTGTCTCAATCCCTGTGGGATCAAAGAATACCAACACAGCTGGCTCTCCAAACCTACAGAGCCCAAGTGCTGGTTATTGGTGACTCACCGATAACCAGAGGAGGCAGCAAGGGCACAAGCATGCTTAGAGATACACACGCCCTCAAGGCAGCGTGGAGTAAAGAGACACCCACACTGCAGAGATCTCTCCTTGCCCTGTGTAGCTATTCTTTGAGGGTTAAGGTGAGTTCTGAAAGGATCTGCAGTGCCCAGGACACACTTGCTGCAGTAATGTCCCAGTTTCATATGCACAAACAGGAAAGGGGACAGGAGAAAGCATCTCTGACAGCCTCAGGGACACCAGAAGACACAAGAGGACTACAGGGCAGGATGGACACGGCAGCTGGAGAGGAATCCGACTTGAGCAGCCCAAGCCATCCGATCCCTGTCTGACCCACACAAGCATTAGCAGACAGCCTGGAAAAACTATTTCCAGCCTCTGGCCCTCCCAAGAGAATGCTCTTCCCTGTGCCTTGCGGGCAGCCCCACACTCACACTTGATGTTGAAGGAGGCGTTGGCCGTGCGCGCCTCCTCCCCGGTGAGCACGTTCCTCGCCAGGCACTGGAAGAGCCCGGCGTCCCGGTGCCGATCCACGGCGGCAAACTGGAGGTTGCTGCCCTCCTTGAAGCGCTGCTCCGTGTCCTGGACGGGAATTCCGTCCTGCAGCCACTGGAACTCCACGTCCGCCGGCTCCTTCACCTCGCAGCGGAGGATGGCGCTGCGGCCGTGCAGGGCATCCTGCGAGTACGGCTCTTTGGTGAAAAGGATGCTCGCCTGCGTGCCCACGGCTGCAAGGCAGAAAAGGGAGGGCATGCTCAGAGCAAGGGAAGGAGAAGAGTGGATCAGGTAAGCACGTGCTGTTCTCAAGGGTGTCCAGACAGTCAGAGCCATGTTAGGAGAAACAGAGCTCAAAGCACATCATTCAGAGTTTGAACAGATCTGTGCTTGGATGCCAGCACAGCTGCTTTAAGCCTGTCTGCAGCAATCACTGGAACAGGGCTGCCTGAGCTTGCCACAGCCAAGGAGGGCTCTCTGCTCCCTGGGGACACGGGCATTAAGAGGGAGTTCCCATGACCCACTACTGAGTGTCACACTTCCAGCCTGAACAGAAAGATGTCTTGCAATGTATGAGCCCGGAAGGCAGTCACCAAAGCCCTGGAGAGCAAGCAGCTTCCTGGGCACTTGCAATGTTTCTTTGAGTGCTTCTTGTCCAGTTTTTTGGGATGTGTCCTAAGTTCCAGCCTTGCACCACGATTGTCCCTAATTAGAAACACGCACATACTGTTTCTAGGTTTTCCTCAAAGTCCCTCTCCTCAGGACTATGTCTCTGACTCACCTCCACAGCCCCAACAATCACACAGAGAAACACTGGTGTGGAACAAGGATTATCTATGTGAATAAACACAGCATCTGCTGGAACACAGCACAAGAGGATGCAACAGGGACACCACAAACTCGCGCCGGTGACTCAGCCCGCTCGCTCACAAGCAGAAGCGGAAACAACAAAAACAACAAACTGCAATAGCTGTCCTGGGGTCTGGTAGTGGCCTCAGGGGCTGGAGGCATCTCTCTGCAGAGATGGAAACCCCCAAAAGCCCTCCTTGACACACTAATGCCCATCCAAGAGTGCTTCCCTGGGTAGTGCCTGGCAAGGCTGCTGAGGGAACCTCTCACACATTCCCAGATCTGGCTGCTGGCTGCCCCCAGCCAGCCCTGCAGGCGCTCTGCTCTGGTTACCAGCTGGAAAAGCAAGGGAAGCAAACAAAAGGCAATTCAGCACATGAGGATGGCTCTTGGACTCTGTCAGCAGCACCATGCTCTGCAGGGAAAGGGGCCAAGCCAGGCAGATTTTGAGCTTCTTAGAATGAAGACGAACAAGAGCGGGGTCAAAACAGTGTGTTCCCACCACTGCAGGAGAAACAGCTTCAGAAAGTGGTTGCCTGGATAAGTTACGTGAGCAGTATCAAAGTCCAGCTGAAAGGCATCTCCTCTTTGGACACTCAGCCACATCCTCCTACCCAGCATTTGTATAAAAGCCTGGTGAAGGGATATGATTTAACAACACATCTCAGTCAGACAGAGCTAGGGATAAGGAATCTTTTTCCAAAAGAGATGTTTTGAAGACCATCAAATTCCAGGAAGCCACAAGAGCCCTTCCCATGCTGGAAAGCCTTTGGAGCCTGCTACACAGTGCAGGGGCCAAGGCAATGCTGCTCATGGGCACACATTTCCTGCAGGGCTGGTCTGTGCTCCCCCACTCACAGCAGCAGCAGCAGCAGCAAGGCACCGACAGAGGCACTCCAACAGGGCTTCACACCTGTCCCAAACACATCAGCCAGGAGCAGGGGCTGGATTTTGCAGTGACCCTTCTGCCACTGAATTCCCAACTGAATTTCCTCTGATCCCAGAGCTATGAATTCTGAATTTGGCTGTCCTGACTTCTGCAACAGAACAGCCAGCTCCATGCATTTCTCTGGAACCTGTTGATGGTCCTGTTTCCCTGGGTCTCATACTGAGCCAAGTCCCACCAGCATGCTGTGCTCCAAGGGTCAGCACATCCAGTGAACTCTCCATGGGCAGCTGCCATGCACCTCCCCTAAAGGCAGGAACTATCCATCAGTCTGTGACAGCTGGCTCATGAACTCGAGATGAAAACACGCCTCAAGGTGATACAACGTGCAGGAACATGTGTCACATCAGATCTGTCCCAACCAGAGCACTCAGCAAGGCAGCAGCCACCCAACCTCACTCAAACACAGCCATGTGCTCCATAGCCTAAAAGCTCCAGAATATCAGGAGCTGAGCTCACACCAGAACTCCTGCTGGGTCAAAGGGGCAGGAGGAAAGGGGAACAGAGCACTCAAATCCACTCAAGTCTGAACCTACAGGATCCAGGTCTGTTATTTTCCCCAGACATGCCTCAGGCATATTTCCATCAAATCACACCTGTATGGGACAAAGCAGGTGCCAAGTGGCAGGGCACACAAAGCTCGTGCAGGAGGATGGATTTGTTGTGCTCTTGCAGTGTCAGCCTACTCATCATGCCAGTGCTGGAGTTTGTGATGAGACACCTCTCTCTGAAGGTGCAGACCATTAGGGTATTAAGATGTTATATTTTAAATTACATGCACTTCTAGCATTAAATCATCAGCATTACCAATGTAACACTGAAGAGCAACAGAGCTGCTTTCAGCCCATCACTGACAGCACAAGTGCACTTTACTCAGCACTGATCACTGAGAGCTTTGGCTGCCTCATCACATGCATCCTGCTGCTCCAGCATGCCCCATGGCCAGGCAGGAGGACATGGCTCTGTGGACAGAGGACATGATGGTGGCTTGGCACAAGTCCCACATGGGAAGCAGGGATTTTACCAGGTGTCAGGAAACACTGGGATCCAGCTCCCTGGTGAAACAGGAGGAATTATTCATGCTGTTGTTTTCCATGCTGGGGAAATGGACACAACCATTTCAGCTCAAGCAAGATGCCTGTGATGAACAGCTCATGAGCACAAGTGTCAAGGCAAAATGGGATTAAAAAAATGTAAAGCGCAGCAGGAGCCACCAGCCTGTGTTTTGTTTGACAATAGCATCCAAGGTGCCACTGGTGAACTGGCTACACATACTGGAAACCATTGTCCCAACCATGTATCACATCTGGGCTGCAAGGAAAGACCAGGAGCAGCTAGATGTGGTCCAGAAGAATCCTACTTGAGTTTTGGGGTGGAAGACATCAGAAGCCCAGAGGTGGACACAGCTTTTCACAGTACTTCAATCCAGAGCACCAGGGCCCAGTGTTGGGAGATGGGAACTGCCTGGAAGAGCTGCACAACCCTGGCCCAGGAAAAGGCTGCAGTCAGCAGGGTCTGTGCATCCCCCCTCCACCTCCTGGGCCTTTGGGACAGAGGCTTAAGGAAGCTGTCCAAGGAGAGGGCTGCTGTGTGGGATGCCATTATGCTGGAGTTTGGGTAAAACCTGTACAAAGCCAACAATCTGCACCGCTGCTGAATAAAGAAAATTTGTTTGTTCCTCTCAGCAGCTGCAGGACCTCCCAGCTCTCCTGTGTGGCAGAGCCATGGCCGTGTGTGGCTCACCCACTGGAGGCTACCCCAGAGGAGAGAGCAAAGGCAACCCCAGCTCACACTGGACACCTTCCCAACAGCTTCTGCTGTGGTTTCATGAGCTCATCTGGGCTGGGACACATTGCTGGGAGCTGCTGAACGAAGCAAAACGCTTCCCTTAGTGAGAGTCACCTCCAAAACGATCCAGCAATGCCACATCAGCCTTAGCAAGACAGAGGCAGAGCAGAGCTCTCCCCCAGCCACACAGCTGGGCCAGCCATGGTCCTGCAAAGCCCACGCCAGCACGGAGCAGTCCCAAATGTGTGTGCTGGCAAACATCCGGCCCCTGCACATGCATGTGACACCAGCCACCCCTGGCTGGGAGAAAAAGAAACCCTCCACACATGTTTCTGGACTAAAACTGTCTCAACTGTGCCTACAGAAAGCTTTCCAGGAAAGATCTTCAGCCAGATTAGATAAACATGTTTGAAATGCAGCTCGTTTGAAAACACCCAGTGGTGTGCTACCCAAAGGATACTCAATTGAAATGCAAAACCCTCCTGTTGAGGTAATAGATAAAGGTTAAGTGAATTGTGCAGGAAGGTTCAATTGGTACCTACAGGTCCTCAGGGTATCATCCCCACACACCACAAAGCAAATCATCTGCAGGGAGGGGACATGGACTAGTAGGATGCACAAGGATGGAGAGAAGAGCTCAGATCCCATCCTGGCTGTGAGATCATCCTTCTGGCAAAGATCTGAGTGCAGGAACACAGCATCCTTCAGGCAGTGGTACCCTCTGCTCAAAACTAATTTCATTTTTTTAGGGAGGCAAATAGCAGCTTTACCCCAGGAAAAACAGTGACACTAATACACCTGCATTACCAATCCTAGTTTCTAACAAGGGTCTCTCAATTAACTTTTTTGTCTTGGGGTGTCCCCAGGTATTGAATTTGCAGGCAGTCCTGACGAGGGGAGAGAGAATGATGAGGAGGACTCCATCTTATCAGAAGGCTAATTAATTACTTTATTATACCATATTATTCTATACATCTAAAACTGAACCTGCCAAGCAACTCAACTCTGCACACAACTCGTGACTGTCACCCAACAGTCCCAACACACACACACCCCTGGCCCTGACAGGCCAAGGAAACAAAACACCATCACTGTGGGTAAACAATCTCCATATTGCATTCTCCTTTTGCACAAACACAGGCACAGCAAATGATAAGAATTGTGTTTTCTTTCTCTGAGGTTCAGAGAATGTGAAACCCAGAAATATTCTTGGGAAGAATTGTGCCTTGCTTTTCTCTGTGAGGAGAAATTTGGGGCTGCAACCAGAACTCGGCCATTGCTGGACTCCAGCCTGAGCACATGCAGAGCATTTCAGGGTGACAAATAAAATCAACAAAGCCATATCCAGGACAGACTTCTGAGCAACTCTATGAAGTCAGTCTCTGCTGTCTGAAGCTCTGCAGAGTAAGTTTTCAATCCTGTGGGATTGCCAGGAAGCAAAGAACTCTCCACACCTCTGGTAAAGGACACCCAGCCCCATGGTAGCCACTCCCTTCAAAGGTTGCCACAGCATTAATGCAGTGATGTGGCAGCAGACTCAGCATGGACTGGGAATGTCTTTGGGACTATTCTCCAGAGCCAGAAGTGCTAACCAGAATTCACTGCTTTAATGCCTCAGTGCCAGCTCCACAGGCTCACCTGGGGACACTCCAGCACCCAGCACCACTTGGGTGCT